GCCACCTCGCTACAGGTGGTGAGGGAATAAGCACACTCAAGGAGAGTTGGGTGACCTGGGAGGGTCAGGGTCCATTACTGCCATAGGACCCCCCTTTCCCTGATGGGAACACGGCACACAGTGCACCCTGAGCATGGGAGGCATCACACACCTTTTGACAGGTGGCTTCTTCTTCAAAACATCAGCCATCATCTTCCTGGCAGGAGGGAGCTTGTTCCACCCTGAGAAGAATACAGAAACCAGAGACCTTCAGCAGCACCCTGAGAGCTTGCTGGTTATGCCAGCAAGCATGGAGCAGCAGGGATGCAGTTGAGAGGCAGAGGCTGAGGTGCTACTAAAGCCTGTGGTCCCCATGGACATGGCAGCAGGAGCCAAAATATGCCCTGGGCTCTGTGGACAGAAGATCAGGCTGCCCCAAACCTCCCCCCCCCAGCAGCTCCCCTCATCCCTGCACCCTGTCTCCCACCTGCAAAGATCCCTGTCACCCAGCGAGCTTGCATTTCTGATCCCACCATCACAGAGCCGGTCAGCTGGATTAAGCCGATGATGGCCAGCGTTGGCTTTTCCAGCTGGGGAGGGAAGATGCGTTTATAGAGAGAACGGTTGTCATCAAAGAGGCTGCGGACTGACTCTTCCAGGAAGGGAAATGAGAACATGTAGCCCGTGGCAAAGAGCACCACGTCAATGTTTTCTTCGGTTGTCCCATCTTCAAAAAGAACAGAGCTTTCAGTGAACTCCTTCACTTTCGGCTTCAACACAATGGTCCCAGAGAGGAGGCAAAACGGCAGCTCTTCATTGATAATTATCTTAAAGTTGGAGCTTGCAGGTGGAAAAGAGGACAGCAATGTTAGCACCTGGGAGGGAACTGAAGTGTCTTCTGTGGTCAGAGTTCCCCTCCAAGTGTTTGCTATTCCACAACTATCCCTTGAAATTAAAAACCAAGGATTTCACGCCATTAAAACCCCCTGACCAACCAACAAAATAGTCAGAAAAAACACCTTTTGCTGGAAGCCAAACCGTAGTTTTCATGGTTAAACCACGAATTGCACTTCCGAAACCTGATTCTCTTTGTAAGGGCTGATGGGAGAAGCCAGTCAAAAAAGTGGTTGAAGCGAGTAGTGTTGACCATGTCAAAGGGGAAGCCGTTGTCCGAGACCCGACTGAATACCCACGTGCTGTTTCTGGCACTGAGGAACACCTGGAGGAGAAGGTAGGTCTCAGCCTCCTGCTCAGACATCTCGTTGCTGTTTTTTCCCTGAATGGCAAATCCCATCTCCTGCACTTGGGAGCCAAGAGGGTTATCCCAGTGGAGGGAGATGGCATTCAGATAAACCAAACAGTTTGTGGTGGCTTCTGCAAAATTCCCACAGCTGCTGAATAGCCTCTCCTCAGGTGGCCCAAACTCTCCAGGAATTGCAGTTTCTTCAATTGCCCTAAATTTAAGTGCTACTTATTGAGAAACCCAGTGGGCAAAGCTTCCTGTGCGTACCCCAAACCACCGGCTATTGCAGTGCCCAGCTGGGCTCGGCACCACCACAGAGCTGTACCTTTGCAGCCACGCGGCTCAGCTCCACAGAGAGATCACCACCGGTGTTGCCAGAACCAATCACGAGGACCCGCTTTCCCTGGAAAGCCTCTGCATCTTTGTAGTCTCGGCTGTGGAGATACCGACCTTTGAAGCGGGTCTCGATACCTAGGCAGAGAACAGAGAACATCTCCTACCACCAGATACATTTGCTTGCCCCAGTCTTGTGCCTGGACCCTCTGCCTCTCCTTGCAGGTGAGAAGCTTGTGGAGGTCTTGCCTCCCTTGGTGATGCCCCCCTCCTTGTCTTGGTGCTGCTTTACAAATTCTTATGCAAGAGCTTTGCTACATCTCCCAAGTGACAGGACAAGAGGAAATGGCCTAAAGTTGCACCAAGGGAGGTTTAGATTGGATATTAGGAAAAATTTATTTACTGAAAGGGTTATCAAGCATTGTTGGGTTAACGGCTGGACTTGATGATCTTAGAGGTCTTTTCCAACCTTAATGATTCTGTGATTGGAACAGGCTGCCTAGGGAAGTGGTTGAGTCACCATCCCTGGTGATATTTAAAAGATGTGTAGATGTGGCACTTAGTGACTTGGTTTAGTGGGCATAGTGGTGTTGGGTTGATGGTTAGACTTGATGATCTTAGAGGTCTTCTCCAACCTTAATGATTCTATGATCTTTATGAGGTGTTTTTCCCATTTCCAGGAATGTCCACGACCATTCACATGGGGTGAGGGTCCCACCTACCCCAGCATGGGGGCTTTGTGGGGCGTGTAGGCTTGCAAAGGAAAATGAAGCCAAGGGACCCATGGGTGCTGGGTAAAACCCCGGGGGTCAGCCCCAGCCCACCTCGCTGCTGAGGCAGGGCTTACCTGGGAAAGAAGCCAATGGTAAGTAGGGCTCCTGGAAATGGCCAGCGCAAACCATGACGGCATCGAAGATGTGTGATTCCTGGACGCCATCATTTTCAGTGACCACCTCCCACTGGCCTGAGGTGGCGAAATCCGGGCACTTCTTCACACTGAGAACTGTTGTCTTGCACCAAAACCCAAAAAAACAGCAGTCAGGGACTGTGCTGCATTTCAGAGAGCACCTGACTGCAAAGGGCTGGAGATGCTGGGGGTAGGCTGGGTCTCCAGGGAGCTGCATGTCACTTCTGAAGCTGTTAAATCCCACCCTGCACCTTTTGCCTGGTGATGGCATTGAGGAGGGGCATGCGCATCAGGCAGCCCATGTTTGAGCAGCCTAGTTTAAAACACAAAGCCAAAAAAGCAATGGTCCGCCTGGGATTGCACCCAGCATTGTCCCATCCCACCTGGGCAATACCCTGGTATCTGCAGCCACCCACGGCTCTTCTCCCCATGGCATTTGGGGTCCCCGCTCACCTTGAAGCGTATGTGCCGCAGGAGGTCAAAGTGCCGGGCGTACATCCGAAAGTACTCCAGGAGGAGGCTGTGGGGCAGGTAATTGGGAAAATCCTCTGGGCAGGGGAAGTCACTGAAGCAGGACATCTCCTTGGAGGTGTTGGTGATCACTGAGCGGTACACGCTGAACCTCCCGCTGTCCGTGGAGTCCTGTGTGAAGCCAGCAGTGCCATTTGCAGGTGTGCAGGGAGGGACTTTCTCTCCCCAAAGTATTTGAGTATTTTTCCTCCTTGTATTTGGGTACAAGGAGTAAACTAGGAATTAGCACCTGGTGACCATGGCTTCTATTCCCTCCATCTCCTTCTCCACCTTGGAGCTGGGAAGAGCCCTGTGCCTGGGACAGACACGGTCCCGGAGGGCATAGCCACCCTTTCCTCTTTGCTGTGGGCACAGGGCATCTGAGGGAGGGGACAAACCCAGGGCCAATCCACCCCGTGCAGGCAGAGCCCACTGACCGTGTAACGCCAGAGCCCCCCGATGTCCTCGCTCCTCTCGAAGCAGGTGGGCTCCAGCCCTTCGTCCAGGCAGCACTTGACGGAGGCCAACCCGCCCACCCCGGCCCCGATGACAGCCACGCGCCGCACCATACTGTCCCACAGCAGGGAACGGGCCGGCGTGTGAGCAACTGGAAATAAAATAGCCCAGGGATTAGCAAAACAGGGATCCCTTCTTCCCATCCCAGGGAAAACACCCCTTATCTTCTCTTGCTGCAGGTGTCCCTGGAGGAGGACTGCCCTTGGAGAGAGCCATCACCAGCTCCTGTCTTGAGCTTTGTGGACAGACGCTGCTCATTCCCCTTCCTGCTGTACTAAGCCCACACTGAGGGCCCAGCAATTCCCCTCACACAGGCAGGGAAAAAGGAGGCACTTTGAAACCTGCTGCTTCTACTTATTCCCTTTCCTGGCCCAAACCAGAGCGTGCAAAGAAGGGGAAGGGGCTTGCAGCTACCCACTCCTGCCTGCGCAAAGTGATCCTCCTGAAACTCTTACAAGAAACAGTTTCAACTCAGTTTTCATGCTCTCCTTTTTAATTTCCCATTAAATAACATTCTCTCAAACTCAAAAAGGGTTTTTTTAAAAAAAAACCCAACAATGCCTGACTAAGCAGGAGCACAGCACAGTGATTCAGAAGTTAGGCAGCACTGTGAAAGTGTGGCGGGGATTGCAGGACCTAAAAAAAGTCAGAAACCCAGGAAACACAGGGTATAAATGGGAGGAACTCAAAGCTCGGCATGTGTAAACTGAGCTGCACCCAACTTGACTGGAAAGCAAAGAAACTAGAAAAAAAAATGAACCCTTGTGAACTTTGTTTAGAAAACAAACACTCCTACTGCAGAGTCTGAAGAAAGAGTCATTTATAACTTTTTTTCAACTCAGTTTTGTGTCAAAAGCGTAAGTTAACTTAAACGAGATGGAGGAAGCTGCAGAAAGGCAGTGAAAAGCGAGGGGGATACAAAACCACCCCCCTGCATCCCAAAGCCAGCTGTTCCCAGCCAGAGCCACTCCCTGATCTGCGGAAACAGGGCAGGACATGCCGATGTTCACCCACCCCCCCATTTCCGGAGCCTCCCTTGGCTTTGGGAAAGGGCAGTGATGTTCCCGGGGTGATAAATTCACCCCTCTTTTCTGGCACTGCCTACAGACAGCTTTGCTCTGGAGGGTCCCCATGACACCCCCTCTACCCCCAACCAGCAGCGAGGTGAAGCTGGTGGTGAACACCAAAACCCCGGAGAGCTGGCTACCTGCTTTTAGAGCTTGCAAAACCCAGCCAGAGAGAAGTGAGAAGCAAACCTTGGCAGGACAGCTCTGTCCCTTCGCTGCTCAGGCTTCGGCTGAACTTTGCTTCGCTTTTCTCTAGCCGCAGATTTAAAGGATAGGCTGAAGTCCAGGCAGCTCACCAGGTGCCTCTTGCACCACTGACCTTTACACTCATGCTCTTCCCACTCTGCTCTGCTCAACTGCACCGGCAGAAAGTTCTCAACCTCCCTACAGCAGCGCTGGGTGGCAATCTGGACTGTAATCCCAGGGGGGCCACACTTGCAAGGACTCCCATGCTGCAGCTCACCTCCACTTGTACCCCAGCCCCAGCAGCAGCTTGGGGTTGTCCCGATCCATCCCCGCACCCCGTGCTGCCTGGGCTGGGCAGGTGCTCACTTGGCATCCCCAGGAAATCAGCAAAACACACTCCCTCTGCTTGCATCATGCCAGTAGATGGCAAGGAGCGGGGACAAGGTGCATGGGGCAGCCCAATTTTTGGTGGTCAATGAAAGCCCTCACAGCCCCAGGCTTGTGGGATGCCCACGGTACCTGCTGACACAGCCCCAGCCTGCACATGGGACCCCACAGCTCTCTCCTTGCACATAACGAAACAAGGCAGCAGCCTGCTCCTGCCATGGCCAAGGAAATTTTATTGAGTGAAAGACTCTCCGTGCACAAAGCAAAGCTTCAGGATTGCCTGGTGGTAGGGAGCACAGGGAAGCAAAGCCAAGAGCAGTCAACCCCATGGCATTCCAGCCCTGGTCTCAGGGGTGACAAACCCCCACAGTCAGGGTCCTTCCCCTGGAAAGATGCACCAGTTCAACCCAAACTGGGATTTTTGGCTCATAGGGTTTAAGGTCAGAAGAAGGGAGAGCCTGACCTGTGCACCCAGCCCAGATAACCCCTTGTTGGACTGAAGACCCCAACTCCGGCTGATTTGGGGCAGTACTTGGTCCTCTTGCTCCTTTCTGCCTGCGGCATCCAAAGCCATTTTTGCTGGTCTTTTCCCTGCTGCCTCCTGGCCAGCGTGGTCTGGGCACAGCCGTGGCACACAGCCACACTCTGCTCATGGCAGCAGGCAGGAGAGCAGCAGAGGGGCAAGAAATGCTGGGGGTAGGCTGCCATCCCTGGCTCATCAGGTCTGCAAAGCTGTGCTCGTGGGTGAGCTGGAGCAGAGAGAGGTTTGTGCTGCTGGTTAGAGTTTTAAATTTGTTGCTATCTGCTGAAATCCCATTCCTCCTGTCCTGTGGCACCCTGCAGAACTGTCTGAGCTGAGATAACATCCTCAAGGACAAGAAAAAACCTAAACAGGCTCTAAAATCTACTGGAAACCAAAAACCACAGCAGCCAGGAGCAGGAGGAACCCCACCACAGTCAGGAGAGAAGGGTAGAGGCTGGAGGAGCTGGCAGGGACTCGTGTTCTCGTGGGCTTCAGGGTCCGGTCCCACTGGGTGAGGATGGCCTGGCGTGCCCCCTCCCAGCGCCCAGGACCCCCCAGTCGGTACTGGTAGGGGGTGCAGGGACCAAAGAAAATGGTGAGGGCCAGCTGAGGGTCTCTGCAGAGCAGCCCCAGGACACTGGGCTTGGTGCCGATGAAGGAGGCAAGCTCGTCCATGTAGACCAGGCAATCGGTTTTGAGGACTTCGTCATAGGACAGACCAAACCTTAATGAACAGGAGAAGAAACAGAGGTGGGAGAAGGAGTGGTGTCAGGGGGCTGAGAAGAATCGGAGGTCAGATGCTCTGCATCCCTGTTGTTGCTGTGTCTAAATGCAGCTGGGTTCTGCTTTGGAAAGGACTGGGTGTAGGTGCAGTGAGAACCTGGGGGGTCTGTCAGGGCCAGAATCCTGCCTGTGACCCAGCACGTGCAGAGCAATGCTGGCTCTGGTACACACCTTTCTCATGTGCATCAGTTGTTTTTTCCCTTCATCACCCACAAGCTGCATCTGGCCCTCCCTTCACCTTAGCAGACCTTTTCTAAAACACTTTTTCAAACCAGTTGGGTTTTTTTTTAAACCAGTTTTCCCTTTGCCCTCCTCAGATAAGTCACGCGCAGCATGAGAAAGGCGGCACCCTTCAGCTTCCCTCACATTCATTTCCACCCAGTATTGCAAAATGTGCACTGAATTGGAGAACTGCTTCCAGTTCACCTTCTCTGTAGAGTTCACGGTCTTGTTTTCCACCTTCAGTTGGCTGGAAAAAGCCACGGGCGTTTAGCTTTGTATTGTACAGCAATTGTTATGGGCACTTCTGTATTTCACTCTTCTATACCTTTTCTACTATAGCTATCTAGGTGACCCACGGATTAATATATCGCCTAACTAACTTCCTTGTTTTATCTCATTCATTTCCTGATAATTCTTAGCCTTTGATTTGACCTTTTGCCTGCCTGGGAACCATGTGCTGGTGTGCTGAGACACCTATTCACAGTGAGTCAGAGCTCCGTGCCGAGACGTGAGACAATTTGTAGGTACACCTCAGGTTGGCTTTTTTTTTTACCTTGCTGAATTACTTTGCATTTCTCACCATTAATTTCTCTGCCATTTATTTCTCAGTCCCTTGGGACCCTGGCACATTTCCTCAACTCCCAAGCAAAATTTAGTCTTGATTACCCTGAATTAATTTCTTTCCGTCATCAACAGGCAAAACATCAGCATCAAATCAAAGGTTACATTGGCTCAGTGCAAGTGAATAAGGGGGTGGCTGGATTCGGGCACATTCCCTGCCCACCTCCCCTGTATGTGTGGGGAGCAGCCGCAGAGTGTGAGCTGGGGCTTCACTTCCAGGGGCTTTTCAATCCACTGAAAAAACCTTCTGGGGTTCTGGGGACTGGCTTACCTTCGCACTAGGTTTTTCTTCTTCTCATTTACTTCCTTCTCCATGACAGACTGAGGAGGCAACTGACACAAGCCTAGAAAAGAGGAGTGCCCTGCAGAGATTAACTGCTGGGGGAAATTTGTGAACTCATTCAGCAATGCAAAACGTGGGAAGCCCTTCCCCAGGAGGGCAGGAGAGCCTCATCGCTGGATTTAGCTCAGCAGTGGCAATTTGCCAGAGACCAGCCCTCCATGATGGTATGGATTCACCTGCACTTTTTCCTGCTCTTACAGATTTGTGCTGTCAGGGCACAGGCAGATGATGGGCTGTGCAAACCCCAGAGAACACCATCCCAAAGATAAATCCTAGAGTCCCCCTGGCTCTGTGGAGGAGCCTTGATGCAGCCCTCCACAGCAGCCCAGTGGAAGGTTGTTATTAGTATTATTTAAAAATAAAAAACACCAGTAGGTTTCTTTCCTCAGACCAATAATTGCAAATAATTCCTCTTGTGGGGCAATGGGATGCTTCTCTGGTAGTCATGGTAGACAAACCACCCTCTCTCTTAAAAAGCAGTGAATTCTGCCAGGAGGGATCCACCACAGTGTCTTCGAGACAACAATTATCTGTGCTTCCAGGTTTACGTATCCATCCCATATCAGAAGCTCTGACTTCTAAAATATTTTAGAGAGAAAACACTGTCTTGAGCAACCTAGTTTGGACTGTGGTTTGCAGGCTCAGGTGCAGGATTGCACATCAGCTGAGTCACAGTAAGGAACAGAGTGCAAGCTCTCAGCTTGCAGCAGGCAGGGTACAAAGCATTAGCTTAAAAGCATCAGCTTGATGGGCAAAAAAAAAAAGGTGATTTAAGGTAGATGTCATGAACCTGCACGTAGTTTAGACCAACCATGCACTCATGTTGCTGTAGCTCATCTGAAGTGAAATAACTTGGGAAGTCTGAGCCCTAGAAGTGCTCCCTCGTCCACTTTGAAGTGAGCTTTGGGGTCCTCAAGGACTGAAATC